CTTTCTTCTGTAGAGGAATGATTGGATGATACGTTTCATAACTGTGCATTAACATTTTTGGGGAGTGCTGTGCATTAACCTTGAGTCATGCCAGTCCTGTGAAAGCAGCATGGTCCAATGTGACGGTCAATGTGTGGGAGCTCTGTGTGAGGACACAGACCCCAGGCCAAGCACAATCTCACTTTCCCAATTGCCTCACAACCCTTCCCAATCACAGTCAGAACCGAGTGTGAGCTCTTCCTGATTCTCACTCTCCCTCTCTGCAGCCCAGATGGACAGAGGGAACTGAGGACAATTCTCCCAGCAATGCCAGAGGGCACTGTTTAAGTATCTGTTTAAGTATGTTGGTGAAGGACTGAGGTGATAAAGAGACCGCTTTATTGAGAATTCGGATAAATGGCAGCCTCTTCTGATGATTATGCAGTTATATTGTCAATGGTCTTTGAGCTATGACTTAATGGTGCTCAGGGATCATCCAGAAACAAATGCTTCCACTTAGCAGTAAGTTCTGTTCAGCAATGAAAGGGCCAGTGTTTTGGCGTCTCTCGGTTACAGTGTCAGAAGTTGATTGTATCAGACTGAGCTCTGTGACTCTGTGGGAGTGATACAAGCAGCTTCTCAGAGGCAGAGATAAGCTGTGATTATTCTCGATGTGACCACAACTGCTGATTCCAGTCTGCAAACAACAGAAAAGGTGTCAGAAATCTGAAAGTCAAAGCAAATCCACAGATCCCTCTCTGTTACAGACTTTGAAAATGATCCGAATTTGATAAAGTGCTATACAGAACAGGCTGGTGTTCCATTAACTCATTTAATACCCAGCCCTGCTCTGCAACATAGATAAAGATTTGATGGAGGTGTTTAGATGTTAAAAGGATCCAGACCAGTGGATTAAGAGGCACTCCCCCTTCTGATGGGGGAAAGATTCCAGAACGAGGGACACAAGCCTCAGATCCATGCAGGGCAGGGTGATGTCAGACAGCAGTGAAACCTGGAACTATCTTTCCCCCAGAGAGCCATGGGTGCTGGGATTTGATTGGACGTTTCAGAATTAAAATGAAATTGGATTTGATTGAACATGGAACAGGATGAAGGGGCTGAATGATCTGTGTGACTCACTTCCTTTACCTCATATTCCAGATTTCAGGGGGGGCTCTGTATAACATCAACAGGACATGTGCTGCATTGAGAGTTGGGAACATTATTTGGAGGAAGTGATTCTTATTTTTTAAATGTGCAGATGTAGGTGTACAGTATTTCCCATAACTAGGCTTGTTGCCAGTTTACACACAGTACAAGGGAGATTTAACATCCATTCTGTTCTCCTTCCACTCCCTGTGCTCACTGGGACCCATTAACTCCAAGCTCAGCAGCTCTTTGATTTTAAAATTCTTGTCCTTGTATTCAAACCCATCCATGGTCTCATCCCTCCCTACCTCTGCCACCTCCTCCTACCCCAAATCTCTCTCTATCTCTGCCACCTCCTCCAACCCCTACATAACTCCCTATCTCTGCCACCTCCTCCTACCCCGATATCCCTCCCTATCGCTGCCACTTCCTCCAGCCTCTACACCCCCTCCCTATCTCTGCCACCTCCTCCAGCCCCTACACCCCTCCCTATCACTGTCACCTCCTCCTACCCCTACACCCCCTCCCTATCTGTGTAACCCCCTCCAGCCCCTACACCTCTCCCTATCTCTGTCACCTCCTCCAGCCCCTACACCCCTCACTATCACTGCCTTCCTGTCCAACCCCACAGTCCTCAGAAATCACTGGATTCCTCTAATTCCAGCCTCTTGCTGGAATGCAGTTCCCATCACTCCTCCTTTGGTGACTGTGTTCAATGCTTAAGCCCTGGGCTCTGGAATCTCACCGTAAACCTCTCCACCTTTCTCTCTTTCTCTGTTTCTCCATCTGTAAGATACTCCTTAAAACCAGCCTCATTGACCAAGGCTTTGGTCTCTCTCCTAACAGCTCCCTGTGCGGCCCAGTGTCAATTTTTCTTTGATAATTGCTGCTGTGAAATAGAACATAGAACATAGAACAGTACAGCACAGTACAGACCCTTCGGCCCACGATGTTGTGCCAACCTATTATCCTGATAAGATCAATAAATACTTTGGGATATTTTCCTGCATCATTTACGTTTGATTGAATCTTTAAATGGTTGTTGTTAAAGTACAGGCTCCAGAGCAAGTGACTCAGCCCCTCATTCTGAGTGGCAAGAGGTGAACTTTGAATGAAGTTTGAAGCTAATATACACTTGATCGGACACCTAGGTCAGGGACTGCATTCCCTCCCTCCACCTCCTTCCCTCACCCCCTGCTCCCCCCCTGCACTCCCCCATTTAGATCCACTGCCCAACCCCCCATCACAATGCCCTCTGCCTCCTGGTCCTGCCCGTGCCCCCTGCATGGACCCTTGTGCTGAGCAGCTCCCCATCCTCTCTCGATCACCCGCTTGAAGGGCACCTGTCTGTCATAGAGCTCCAGCAGGTCATCCCCTCGGGCTTCCCTTCAAAGAAGAGAGCTCTCCAATAGTATGTGTCCAGGGAATGTGTGAATATTGAATTGAGAGACTGTCCAATGGTGAAAACAACATTTTGGGAGTTGTCTAAACTCTAGCAGAGGACATCTGACATTACCAGTCTTATATTCTTCCCCATGTCCAAATATTACCACTTTCATTAAATCATAAAATCCCTACAATGTGGAAAGAGGCCATTCGGCCCATCAAGTCCACACCAACCCCCTGAAGAACATCCCACCCAGGCCAATCCCCCCACCCTATCCCTGTAACCCTGCATTTACCACAGCTAATCCATCTAGCCTGCACATCCCTGGACACTATGGACAATTTCCCATGGCCAATCCACCCTAACCTGCACATCTTCGGGCACTTAGTTTTAACGAAACAGTCGTCAAAGCAATAACCGAAATGGAATTTGAACTAACAAGGCGTAGAGCTGGATGAACACAGCAGGCCAAGCAGCATCATAGGAGCAGGAAGGCTGATGTTTCGGGCCTAGACCCTTGTTCAGAAATGGGATTTGAACTGTTGTCAGTTGAAATTAGATTTTTGTTTCTTGTTTGTTTCAGGTGAAACAAGAGCCATTTCTGGGACTATGCTGATGTCCCAGGATGAACGCAACCATGGAATTGGATAACTATGAAACGGTTCTGGAGACCACAGATGGCTCTGCTTTGAACGAGGGTTGGTATGTCTCGTACCCAATGAGCTTCCAGGTTTCCCTGACCAGCTTCCTCATGCTGGAGATTGTCCTGGGCTTTAGCAGCAACCTCACCGTGCTCATTCTATACTGCATCCAGTCTAACCTGGTGGATTCCATCAGTAACATTGTTACCATGAACCTCCACGTCCTGGACATTATCATCTGCCTCGTGTGTGTCCCATTCACCATTGTCATTGTTCTCATTCCTCTGGAGAGAAATGTGGCTCTGATCTGTTGCTTCCATGAAGCCTGTGTCACCTTTACCAGTATTGCCACCGCGGTTAATGTCCTGGTGATCAGCCTTGACAGATACGACATCTCTGTCAAACCAGCCAATCGGGTCCTAACGCCCAGTCGGACAATCCTCCTGCTGACCTCAGTCTGGATTGTGTCGCTGATGGTGTTTTTCGTTCCCTTTATTGAAGTGGAGTTTTTCGGGGATCCGCTGCACAGTACGGCCTGGCAAAACCGAACACTGCTCTGTGTCAGTGCCAATGAGTACCATAAGGAGCTGGGCATGTATTACCACCTCTTCATCCAGATCCCCTGCTTCTTTGTGGCTGTTGCAGTCATGTCGGTCACCTACACCAGGATCCTCCAGGCCCTGAACATCCGCATCGGATCACACTTCACACGCAGTCAAAAACGCAAAAGCAAAAGTAAGAAGAGGAAGAAGAAGAAGCCAGGGAGCTCCCTCAGCAACCAGTATGAGACAAAGAAGCTGACCTCAGCACCAGTCACTCCGAATCCCATGCCGCTGGGTGTTCAGGCCTCTGTGTCGGTTATTATTGCCCTCCGTCGAGCTGTGAGACGCCATCGTGATCGGCGTGAGCGGCAGAAACGAGTCTTCAGAATGTCTCTGATCATCATCTCCACCTTCGTCGTCTGTTGGGCCCCCATTTCCATCGTGAACCTTCTCATTCTCTGCCTAGGGCCCAGCGATTGGTTGGTGAAGCTCCGGATCTGCTTCCTCGTCATGGCTTACGGTTCCACGGTCTTCCACCCGCTCCTCTACGCCTTCACCAGGCAGAAACTCCGGAAAGTTCTCAAGAACAAAATGAAGAAGCGGGTGGTATCAGTTCTGCAGGTAGACCCTGCCCCCAGTGGGACAATCATTCACAATTCCTGGGTCCATCCCAGAAAGACACATAAACTGAAGCTGGAGTGCAGTGATGCTACTGACCACTGCCTAACAGAAGCGGCCAAAGACTGACTCGATATCACCCATCACTTTGTAACAGACTTAGACTGTTCAGCAAAACAAAATGCCAGACCAACTGTAAAAAGTAGAGGTGCAATAATTATTTAACAAGTTGTTCAATCGTCCAGATACATACAAAATAGAACAGACACACAGAAAGTGAGTGAAACCCACACTGAGTATGGAGCAGTTTTAATGTCTTTTTGAACCAGTTGGTGACATCGCCTGTGAATATGATGAACATTTTAAAACTATTGCTTTTAAAAACAAATCCCATACTCAAAGACTGTGTGGCAAATCTGTCAGGGACAAGATTCCCAGCACTCTGAACCCAGCTCTTTCAGGGGGCATCATCTTAAAGTGAAGGGCAGGAGGTTTAGAGGGGATTTGAGGAAAATCGTTTTCATCCAGAGGGTGGTGGGGGTCTTGAATGCACTGCCTGGAAGGGGAACTGAGGCAGAAGACCTCACAATGTTTAAAGGGTGGTTGGACGAGCATTTGAAATGTCAAAAAATTTAAGGCTACGGGCCTAGTGCTGGAAAGTGGGACTTGGGTATAGTTGGAATTTAACAAAAAACCAAAGAACTGCAGAGGCTGGAAAATCTCAGCAGGTCTGGCAACATCTGTGGAGATAGAAACAGAGTTAGCAGAGAGCTGTTCCAAAGAAGGGTCGCTGGACCCAAAATGTTAACTCTGCTTTCTGAGTTTTTCCTGCAATTTCTGTTTTTGTTGTAGGTTTGGAGTTGTTTTTGTCAGTGCAGATTTGATGGGCCAAATGGCCTCTTCTGTCCCATATAATTCTGAATTTACAACACTCCAAGCCCCAATTCAAACTCAATTAGTGGCTGTTTCTCTCTTGTTTACATCGGCAATTCATGTTTGAGAACTTCAAAACTAAATTCCTTCATCTGATAGGGTTAACTGATGCTACCTGTTTGACATAAACAAGAATAAGAATTTTCTGGTTGATAGTTTAACTAGGTGTAAGGGTAAACTCAAAGCCAGGTTCCATATTCTATTTGATTAGGGTATGTCTGGGAAGCTCAGGCCTGTGATTTGCACATTGTGCACTTAGCACCCCTTGGTGGTCTGGATGACTCTATGCAGGAGATGCATGCGGCTGGAATAACCTCCCCCCAACCCCTCCACCCCCCGGGTTAGAGAGTGGGAGCAGTTACTGGGGGAACCTCAGGGCATTGACCAGGCCGAGGGGTTTCAGGATGGGGTCACCCTGCAGCTTAAGGACGTGCAGGTAGAGAGGCAATGCAAGGCAGAAGAGGGCACCAGGCAAGTAGTGAGGGTAACATTGAACATATCTTTGTTACAAACCATTTTGTGGTCTTGGAAAGAGAGTTGGTGAGATGTATTAGTAATCGATTTCCGGAATTCCATCGATCTTGATTCCTGCTGATTGGAAGTTCCAAATATCTCCCCACTTTTTAACAAAGGAGCAGGGAAAACCAGGAAGTATGGATGTGACAGGAGGAAGGAAGATAATTAGAATCTATCATGGAGGGGGTGATCCATGGACATTTGGATAAAATTAACTGATTGGACACAGCATAAATTTTCAAATGGAAAGCCTTTTGTATTTGGATTTTCAGATGGCTTTTTGATAAAAATCACCGCTGCAGACTGGTTAGAAAAGTTACATTCTGGCAAGAGGAGGTAATGTACTGACCAGGATTAATGATTGGCTAACATTCAGAAAACAGAATTGAATAAATGTGTCATTCTCATATTGGTAGACTGTGCTAGTGGGGCACCACAAGGATCAGCATTAGGGTCCCAGCTGTTCACAATAATTTATCAATGATGTGGAGGTAGCGACCAAAGAGAATATTTCCAAATATGTGGATGATACAAAGCTAAGTGAGGAATGTGTGCTGTCAGGAAGGTGTAAATCAGCTTCAGGACAATGTGGACAGACGTAATGAATGGCCAAGAACATGGCAGATGCAATATAATGAGAGAAACTGTGGGGTTCTTGGCTTTGAGACTGGCAGCTTAACCTTCCTGGTATTCCTGGGTATTCAGACTTGGTACAGAGGAGATTAGAAGACAGAGACGTGTTGTAATATTGATTGAGGAATCAATGCTAGCTGTGAGGAGGGAGGACATTTTGCACAGATCATTGGACGGGGCCTTATGGGTAAAAGTGAAACCACAAAAGGGGCAAACATGCTGTTGGGTGTGTACTACAGCCCCCCACCCAGTCAGGGAGAGATACAGGATTACATTTATAACCACATTTCAGAGACGTGTGAGAGTAACAAGGCAGTAATAGAAAGGGATTCCAACTCTCAAATATTAATTGGGATAGGTTCAGTGTGCAAGGCAGGGAGGGAACAACATTGTCCCATTATTAAACAGGGGAGGCAGGGATAGTCCAGGAAATTCCAGACCATTCATTCTAACCTTGGTGGTGGGGAAGTTATCAGACAGAATTGTGAGGGACAGAATGTGTCTACATTTGGAGAGAGCTGGATTAATCAGGGAGGGTCAGCGTGGTGTCATTAAGAGAAGGTCATGTTTGACAAATTTGACGGTATTTGTTGAGGAGGTAAACAGGAGGGTTAATGAGGGGAATACATTTGATGTGTCTACATGGGCTTTAGTGAGGGTTTTGATAAGGACCCTGGCAGCAGACTGGTGAAGAAAGTATGAGCCAATGGGAAGCAAGACAACGTGGTACATTGGATCCAAAATTGGCTGAGGGGCAGAAAGCAGAGGATGATGGGATAGGGAGGTTTCTGTGACTGGGAATCTGTTTCCTGTGGGGTTCCACATGGCTTGGTGCTGGGGCCCTCGCTGTGTGTGGTGTATATTAATGATGTGGAATTTAATGTACGGCATGGTGAAGAAATTCACAAATGACATGAAAATCAGTCAGGAGGAGGCTAATGGTAAGCTGCAGGAGGATATCCACAGCCTGGTCAGCTGGGCAGAGCATGTGGCCAATGGAATTCAACCCAGAAACGGGTGCTGCAATGCAGAGGGTTAAAAAGATAAAGGATTACACTGGGAATGGTGGGAATCTGAAACTCACTGCCTAAAAGAGTGGTTGAGTCAGAAACTGTTCTAACATTTAAACAGTTTTTAGATATTCGCTTCCATAATCATTGTCTTCACAGCTGTGGTCAGGAGCTGGAAAATAGGATTAATCTAGTCAGACGTTTGTTGACCAGCATGTTCTCAATGGGCTGAATGCAGTCCCCAGGCTGTAAACATCGGAGTCTACAACACTCCATTCCCAACAAAGATAACATCGACATTCTCAACTCAACTTCAATCATAATCAAGTTATAGCCAGGAAATGTGTCAATGGATGAATAACTAGAAACACAGACTGACTTACACCTGTCACATTCTCACCAAATGATTCCACACAGATTTGGAGAGATCTGTGCTTTGAGCAAATACATTATTCCCATGCTGCCTCTGCTTTTTTGCCTATTATCCTTCAAATTCCTCCTCCTACCAGGACATCTAAACCCCATCCCCACAGCCACACCTTCAGCTTCATATGTAAATCTCAACGTGTCACCCTCCAAATGTCACAAGCCACGTGCCATCTCTAACGCCTCATATTTCCCCAGACACACCCAATGTTGCCTTCTCTGTGTCAGTATCTAAAGTGCCCTCAGTTTTGAAACAGGAGCAAGTCGTAGCCTTAGGGCCTTTCCCCAGCACACAGCAGGGGATTAATGAACCCCAACCACCCCCACTGAGCTACAACACTCCCCCCACCCCCATTCAGCATCAATTTAAACAACCGCCCCCCTCCCCCACAGTATATGGTTGACCCCCTGCTCTGAATGGTCCACAAACTGACCAATGAAAGCCAACAGAATAAACAGCCTGGTGAATGAGATTTTCATCATTTACAAACATGGCCCAGGAATAAAGGGCTGAGAGGGAAGAACAGAGATCGGGAGGAATTCCCTCATAAGGTGATGGTAGAAATGAGGGAAGTAAGGCCAAAGCAGGAGAGTCCAGAGCAGGGTTAAATAATTGAAGCAGAATAATGGATGCTGAACAAAACCCAGGGGCAAATTATTCAAGAGAAGGGGGCTCTAGAAAGATGGAAAACCCAAGGGTGAGACTGTGTACTGGCCAGGAACAGATAGAGGGTCCCCAAATATCCAGCACAAACTACCCCTACACTCACCTCCACCCCCACCTACCCTCAACCCCATTCCCTCCACCCTCATCCCAACACTCACCTCCACCCCCATATCCACATCCACCCCCACACTAACATCCAGCACTACTCCACCCCCATCCACACCCTCACCCTCACACACCCACCCACCCCTCCACCCCTTCCCCATTGCTCAAATCAGGAAGCATATTAAAAACGATTCACTGAATGTGGGTACATGAGAAAGGGGCTGGAGCTACCCCCTGACCCCACACCCTCACCCAATACTGATCCCAACATCCCCCACCCTGATCTGCTGCAGATTCTCCTAAACATTGCCTCCATTCCCACCACACCCCTCCACTCCCGTCAACCCACCATCGCTGCTTCTAGTCCCAGCCGAACTCTCTCTCTCTCTCTCTCTCATTTAGAAAGAAACCACCAACTATCTCCTGGAATCTGTTCCCAATTACTGATTAAATATATCTTGCACCATCGAGTTTTCCATCGCCAGTTCAATGCTGAGTATTAAGCCCAGCCATTGTGATGTGTTTGTTGTGTATGAAGTGTCTGTTTAATGTCTCTCAGTAATTGTGGACTTTCATATTATATTTCTCAGCAATTGTAATGGTTTAATTACACTCCAATCTTCTCTGATTATCCAATCACCTGATTAAATTATTATTCTCACTCGAGTTCACTGGCTGTTTGTTCCGAGCCTCAGTAGTGGTCGATAATTCTGTTCAGAAACAGAGATTGCTGGAGAAACTCATCAGTTCCTGTGCTGAGAATCCAGGTTCATGTTTTGAGTCTGAGAGGGCTCTTCACAGGACTGAACTGGTTTGATAATGGTGGCAGAGGAGGAGTG